CTGAGGGACTGAATTGCTGGGCGGAGGGGTGTGGGGACCATGATCTCAGGGAACATCTAGCTCAATTGGCATAACACAGTTTATAAAGAAAATGTTCTACATTCTACCTTGGTGAGTAGCATCTGGGGTCTTAAAAGCCTGCAGCCATCTAAGAAACTCCACTGGTCTCACCCCTTTGGGAGCAAGGCAGAATGAAGAAAAAAGGATACAAGGAAAAGATTAGTCCAAAGAACTAATGGACCACAACTACCACAGCCTCCACCAGACTGAGTCCAGTACAACTAGATGGTTCCCGGCTACCACCACTGGCTGCTCTGAACAGGATCAAAACAGAGGGTCTCTGACAGAGCTGGAGAAAAATGTAGAACAAAATTTTAACCCACAAAGAAAGACCAGACTTACTGGCCTCATAGAGATTGGAGAAACCCTGGGAGTATGGCCCCTGGACACCCTTTTTTTAGCTCAGTAGTGAAGTCACTCCCGAGGTTCACTAGTCGGCCAAAGATTATACAGACTCATAAAACAAAATGGGACTAATAGGGCACAACAGTTCTGGGACAAGGACTAGAAGGCAGGAGGGGACAAGAAAGCTGGTAATAGGGAACCTAAGGTTGATAAGGGACGGTGTTGACATGTCATGGGGTTGTTAACCATTGTCATAAAACAATATGTGTACTGACTGTTTAACGAGAAACTATTTGTTCTGTAAACCTTCATCTAAAGTTCAAAAAAAAAAAGATTGCTCAAAAAGCTTGGGAAATGCTGCATACTCTTTCTCCTCTTGGAGATAAACTCCCATTAGAATAATAAGGACTCTGAGAATTCCTGTTACAGTAAAGAAAACTAACCTTAATCTACCATTTCCCACATTATTTGTGCACGAAAGTTTCAGTGTACTCACACCCCTTGCCTCCACAAACCTATCAAAACTTTCTGGAAGACTTCTGCAGAATGCCAGTTTGGGAAAATGATTAGCTATGCTTTGAGGGAAGCACCTTCTTAGTGCTGCAAAGCTTACCGTTTAATTTTTCCTTTCCCTCTCTCAACCCTTATTCTTCAACCGAAAGACGAGGATATTAAGGGCAAGAGGCGGAGGGATGTGAAGCGTTTAATTTTATGAGGTTGTCGAAAATAAACAGTAGTTTCTTTAAAAAAAAAAAAAAAAAAGGCAGCAGCGGCTAATTGTGCTTTTTAATTGTAAAGTCTAAGGAAGCTGGCAGAGATCGCGAGGCGAAGAACTGTATTTACGTTTGAGTCTGTGCAATTTACCTACGCATGTTTGGTAATGCACGGAGATTAAAATTCCGTATTCAGTACCACTTCGGCCACCATACTTGGTTTTACGGAAGCTCGCAGAGGTCAAAATCCCTTCCGCTTTTCAATTTCTGTTTTTTTCCCGGGAAGCGAGACTTAAGAGAGGCGATAAACCTAGGCCAAACGTAGAGAGAGCGGCTAAGGTTAGAATGAAGGGGGAAAATGGGGTATCTTTTGGAGGGTGATGGGTGCAGATCTACCACGCAAGCATGGAGAGGGAAGCGCCGGCTGAAGACGCTGAGGGATGGGCCGGGCACGTAGGAGAAAGGGAAGGTTGGGAAATACCATTTTCAGAAGGGGATTGAGGAAGGTACTATCTGAAGGGCGTGAGACGTGGAAGATGCCACTTGGGTAGTGGTGGGAGCCGGGTGTGTGGGGAACGCAGTGGAACTGACGTCGCCCACAGCCCCATTTTCTTGTCTTTAGCCTGATCCTTCTCCTGCCATGAGTAGCCTAGTGCGGACTGAACAGCTGCGCGGGGAGTTCCCTCTGCTGGTGTCTGGCGGCCCCTACTCGGTGGTGGTTCTGCTGCAGGGCTACGCGGAGCCCGAGGGGGTCAGTGACGCCGTGCGCGCCGACGGTTCCGTGACCCTTGTCCTGCCCCAGAATCGGGCCCTGGTCTCTAGCCACCGAGAGTCCCCTTTCGGGGGCGGCGGGGCGAATACCGCCCTGGAGGAGGCGGCCCGTGGCCCTATGGTCGTGGACACTGGGGGCCCCTGGGCTCGGGAGGCACTGTTGGGGGCCCTAGCTGGGCAAGGCGTGGCCCCGGGAGATGTGACTCTGGTGGTGGGGACCCACGGGCACTCTGATCACATCGGGAATCTGGGGCTGTTCCCGGGGGCGGCTCTTCTGGTCTCGCATGACTTCTGCCTCCCGGGGGGCCGCTACCTCCCCCACGGGCTAAGTGAGGAGCGACCCCTGCGGCTGGGGCCCGGTCTCGAAGTTTGGGCCACGCCGGGCCATGCGGGTCAGAAAGACGTGAGCGTGGTGGTGGCGGGCACAGCCCTGGGCACCGTGGTGGTGGTGGGTGACGTGTTTGAACGCGATGGCGACGAGGACTCGTGGCAGGCACTGAGCGAGGACCCAGTGGCCCAGGAGCGGAGCCGGAAGAGGATACTAAGCGCTGCCGATGTGGTCGTGCCTGGTCATGGGGCCCCCTTTAGGGTGGTCAGGGAAGCCTCATAGCCGGAGACAAAGGGTGCGGGTAAGATCCAACAGGAACCCGAGGTGGGAAACTAGGAGGTCATCTTGCACCGACAAGTACTGGGAAGGAGCTGGACTCTTGTCAGGAAAGCCCTCCAGGCCAAGGAACTGGCTTCCAGGAGACTGGAGTACCCCGGATGGTCCCATCTTCTAGCCCTTGCAAGAGGCGAGTTTTCTAGTGAAGATACACTATTCTTCTAGCCAATGCCATCACCAGTATTACTCTCTGCCTGTTTCTGGAACCAGACTAGGGCCAGGGACTGGCTCAGCTCTGTGTGTAACCTCCTAAGCCCTCACTGGTAAAATGGGGAGAATGTTCTTGTGAATCGGCCAAAATAAAAATAATAAAAGTAGAAAACCAGCATTGGAAATTATACTGCCCCACTATATATGTGAAACATTAATAATGATAACTGTTTATCAGTACCAGTTGCCGTGGAGTCTGTGCCAACTCATGGTGACCGCATGTGTGTCAGAGTAGAACTGTTCTCCAGAGGGTTTTCAGTGGCTGACTTTTCCAAAGTAGATTGCCAGGCCTTTCCTCCAAGGTACCTCTGGGTGGGCTTGAACCTCCAACCTTTTTATTGGCAGCTGAGTGGGTTTACAATTTGCATCACCCAGGGACTCCAGGTGATAACCATGCATATATAATAATTAGCAACTGCAGCAGGGAGAGGCTTTGGCCAATTGCCTGTTTCCCATAGGGTATAGGCTGCCGAGAGAAGGTGCAGGGCATAGAGGTGACATGTCAGTCATCTCACTTTAATCCATTAGAATATTTGGAATCTGCAATTTCTCAGACACTATTCTAGGTCGTGGGAGTCTGGGTAGCACAAACGATGAAGCGCTGGATTACTAGCCAAAAGGTTGGTGGTTCAAACCCACCCAGAGGTGCCTTGCAAGACAGGCCTGGTGATCTGCTTCCAAAAGGTCACAACTTTGAACACCCCAGGGAGCCTCTATGAACAACTGCCTCCTTTGCCATGAGACCAGAAGAGCTGGATGGTGCCCAGCTACCATTACTGAACATTTTGATTAAAGAGTCTATAGAATAATCTTGATCAAAAGGGCAGAAATGCAGAATAGAATTTCAAATTCTCATGGACTCCAGATTTTTTGGAGCCATGGAGGCTGGAAGAACCCCCTGAAACTGTTGCCCTGAGATAGGCTTTATAACTTTAAAAATATCGCCTGAAGTCTTAAAACCAAGCAATAGTTTAGCTTAACTAATAAAAACGTCTGGAGCGTTGTGCTCTTAAGATCTATCTATATGGGATCAAACTGACAACAGCAATTCAAAAGATTAGGTAGGAACCCTAGGGGGCAGTGAGTTTATTATGTTAATGGGGGAGGAACAACTCAGAAAAGAGTGAGTGGTTGCACAACTCAAAGAATGTATTCATTGTCACTGAATTGTACATGTAGAAATTGTTGAATTGGTGTATGTTTTGCTGTGTATATTCTCAACAACAACAAAAATTAAAAAAAAAAATCCCTATGGAACAGTTACACTCTGCAACACGTGGGTCGCCATGAGTCGGAATCAACTTGATGGCAACTGATAACAATTGTAGGTCATAGAGATAAACAGCAGTGAGTGAGCTGGGCAAACTCCTTACCCTCATGGAGTTTATATTCTATTGAGACAGACAGTCGAGAAAACAGTAACAGTAGTAGTAAACCAAATAATTATAGGTTGTGGTTAGTGATCAGAAGAAAAGGCAGGGTGAGGAGGGGATAGTGTGCTGAGAAGGTAGAGTGAACTATTTTATTTAGGGTGGTCAGGAAAAGCCTCTGTGAGGAGATGACTGAGCACAGAAGTAAATGAGAAGAAAGCCAGCCATACAAAGATCTGGGAAAGGGCATTCCAGGCACAGGAAACCGAAGGTATAAAGGCCCCAAGGCAGAAAAGGTTGACATACTTGAGCAGCAAGAAGACTCATGGGGTTGGACTGCAACATGCCAGGGAAGAGTGGCAATAAATGAGGCTGCACTTAGATAGGGGCATCATGCAGGGACCCGTGGACCACAGTAAGGAGTTTGGATTTATACTACGTGAGATAGGAAGCTGTTGGGCTTTTGAGCCGGCTAATAACATGGTCTGGTTTGTATTTTAAAATAATCACTCTAGTTCTGAGTGGTTAAGGGGTTTGTGCCACCAGTGCTCTGGGGGGTAAGAACAGAAAAGAAAAAAAAAAAAAAACCCCACTGCCATCAAGTCGATTCCTATTCATAGCGACCCTATAGGATGAAGTAGAGCTGTCCATAGGGTTTCCAAGGCTGCAAATCTTTACAGGAGCAGACTGCCACATCTTTCACCAACAGAGTAGCTGGTGGGTTCAAACTGCAGACCTTTGGGTTAGCAGCCATGCACGTCACCACTGCGCCACCAGGGCTCTGAAGAACGGAATCAGCAGGTCTAATCAAAAAGGTATTGCAGTCTTCCCGGTGAGATAAGTTAATGGCCTCTGCCCTTATCCCAGAAGTTCTGTCATGGCAGTGGTTCTCTCCACAACTACGTCCCAGTTCCCAAGTCCTACATCTGCACAGCCCCAGAAGCACTCAGGTGGGAAAGACCAAGCAGAGAAGCAAGTCTACCTCATTGCATGAGCCACTTTGGGTAGTTATCTGGCAGGGCTAGGCTGGAGGTCATTTCCCAGGCATCCAGGAAGGCTACACGGAGGTCAGCAAACACAGACTTGTAGCCGGTGTTCCAGTTTGTTGATCACAAGAGTGCTAGGTTCCTAAGCTAGCAGTGTAGCCATGGCTGCCTGAATCCTTGCCAGTGGTCGGACAAAGATGGATGGAGGGAAGGTGGTAAAGTGACCCAGATCCAGCGCCACCATGATGTGAGGACTCCCAGCCAGGCCCCCCAGCTCCTGGGCTGCAGAGTACAGGAAGGCCACTGGAGCCCTGCTTGATACGTGGAATGTAAACCCACCAGCTTCAGGGCTGTAGGGAGGATGAAAGAGGAGGGTTAAGGATTATTTAGAGCTCCGCACTCTGAGCTTGCACTAACAGTCCACTCCAGACTGACTTAACCAGGATACAGCCCATGCCTTAGGCCTGACGATTCAGAGCAATACACCTCTGGCCACAATGATTGTTTCCTAAATGGACAGGTCACCTAAGCTAGTCCATTCCTAGTAATCTCAATGTTCTTGCTGGAGCTAGTGGAAAAGAGTCTAGCTCTTTCCTGCAAGATGACGACTTGGGCAGGTGGGTCATTGGTGGCCCTTGTTCTAGCACTGGGAGAGAACAGTGTTACTGGGCTCACCAAATGGAGACTGAGAATGAAGCTAAAACAGCAGGGGCAGACGTGAGAGATTAAGAGCAACAGACCTGATGAATAGCTTGAGAACCAAAAGCCAGATCTACTCATCTCTTCATTCATATGTGCTACTAAACTGCTTTCCTGCTTAAGCTACTTTGAGTTGTGTTTTCAGTCACTTGCAACAAAAAAGAGTCCTGAATGAACACAAATACTAGTGGTGATGATCCATTAGAGAGAGAGAGGTTGTGGAGAGAGTGTTGATTCCGAGCGAAAGAAGTGCTCAAGATATTAGGAGGCTGGGTCCAGTCAAAACTGCTAACGAACAAAAAAAAAAAAAAAGAAGGAGAAAATGGGAAGAAGTAACTAAGAAATAGGAAGGTGGTTGGAAGGCCACAAAGAATGTAAAGGACAGATAAAGGATCTTAGTCATAAAGGATCTAAGTCATAAGGATCTAGGTCACGTACCCCTATCAGTATCAAACCCTGTGGTTAATTTAAATGTGACACAAACAGGACCTGTAGTATATTAGTTTGGTATTGAGTTTGCTATTAATTTAGTATTGAATTCAGAAGCTACCAAACTGACCAAAAAATCCCAATCAACAGTGAGCTTTTCCAAAGACAACTAATACTTGCTTCTGCCAAAAATATGAGCTGCTGACAGCCTAGGGCCATGTTAAATTAACACAACTTGAAACTTTTGAGACTATCTGGTACGGTGAATTTGGCATCTGAGGGCTGGCTTGTGGGTATCAAGTCTCCAGGAAGAGTTTTTTGTCTGTCTACTTAGTACTGAGGTTCAAGACAGACAAATTCTTTGAGGTCTCTAGTTGGGTGTGGGGTGGTGGTTTCTAGTTCACATAATATGAGGGTATAGACTTTTGAGATCCTGGCTTTATGCCAACAGAACAGTCTCCTGTTAGACTACCCACATTATCAAAGGCCTGGGGTGTGTCTCCTGCCATTGGCTTTCTCAACACTGAATTTCAAGTTTAGTGAGTTTGGCAAATGCCCTCAAGGGGAAGGCAGATTTCAGTGGTCTACTAACCTCTTTGGGTTCCCAGTTTCACTTAGCTTTTGTCCTCTGATAATTTCTTTAACGTTTGATAAATTATCAATACATTTAAACTGATTAAAATATTTTTGTCTTTTTTTTTTAAGTTAGGAGCCCTGGTGGCCCAGTGTTTAAAGTGCTTGGCTGCTAACCGAAAGGTCAGTGGTTGGAACTCACCAGCTGCTCCAGGGGAGAAAGATGTGGCAGGCTGCTTCCGTAAAGATTTACAGCCTTGGAAACCCTATGGGACAGTTCTACTTTGTCCTAAAGGGTCACTATGAGTCAGAATTGACTCAAAGGCAGTGGTTTGTGTTTTTTTAAAACTTGAGTTTATTGAGATAATTTACATGCAGTAAAATTCACTCTTTTTTGTGTACAGTTCTATGAGTTTGAAAGATACGTGTAGTCAAGTCATCACAACCACAATCAAGTTGTAAAACATTTCCATCACCCCAAAAACTTCCCTCATGACCCTTTGTAGTTAATCCCTTCCCCAACTCCCAGCCCCTGGCAGCCACTGATCTGTTTCCTTTTTAAATAGTTTTGCCTTTCCCAAAATGTTGTATAAATAGAATCATAAGGTATGTGGCTTTTTGTCACTTAGCATAATGTATTTCAGATTCGTCTATGTCATTGAATGTAGAGTAGTTCATTCCTTTTATTGCTGAGTAGTATTCCATTGTATGGATGAAGCTGTTTGTTTGTATCTGGGTGGAATAAAGCCACTATAAACATTCATGTACAGGTTTTTGTGTGTGAACATAAGTTTTTATTTCTCTTGTCTAAATACATAGTTTATGGGCTATATCTGTCAAACAAACAAATAAACTCATTTTTGTCAAGTTGATACCAACTCATAACGACCCTATAGGACAGAGTAGAACTGCCTCATAGGCTTTCCAAGGAGTGGCTGGTGGATTTGAACTGCCAACCTTTTGGTTAGCAGCCAAGCTCTTAACCACTGTGCCACTAGGGCTCCATGAGCTGTATAGTAAGTATATACGCAACTTTATAAGAAATTTTCTGTTCTCCAGAATGGTTTACCATTTTGCATTCCTACCAACGTGTGAGGGTTCCAGTTACTGCACATCTTCACCAGCACTTGGTTTGTCAGAAAAAATCATTACTTTGTCATCATTTTATTGGAAAGATTTTTTTCTGGGTATAGAATTCTGGGTTGGCAGGTGTGATCATTAAGATTGTGTGTAAACTTGGCTGGGCCATGATTCTCAGTGGTTGGCAGTTACAATGTAGTTTGGCAGTCATATAATGATGTAATCACTTCCATGATGAGATCTGATATTATGTGATCACCTCCTTGATGGGATCTGCTGTGAGTAGCTAGTCAGTTGAAAGGGAGTTTCCTTGGGGGTGGGCCTGTATCCAATATAGGTGGGCTTTCTGGCAACGTTCGCTGGCTTTCGCCTTCTCTGGATCCTGCAGCTGGCTCCTGTTCATCTGACCTCCGGTTCTTGGGACTTGAGCTAGCAGCTTGTCTGCTGATCCTGGGATTTGTCAGTTTCTGAGGTCCGGATCTTTAGTTTGCCAGCCCCTGCAGCAACGTGAATTGGGAGAAGTCTCCAGCCTGACCCATGGACTTGG